CCAGACTTTGCCTGCATCAACCCAATTCTTATTTGCTGTTGCTTAAAACGAATACTGGTCATCACGGGCAAGCACTAATTTATCATCTCGTTGTACAAAACATAAATATCAGTAATTACTGCAGTTCAAAGAGTAGACATGGCTGAATTGTTTAGATCTCTGTGTTTTCAAGATCATGACTCCTCCTGGGCAAAGACCCTGAGTCTATATTAAGACAATCATTGCTTGAAGTAATTGCTCAAAAATACGTGCTCTAATCATCTCATATAGACGCCCCAGAAAAGCTAACAAATGTAACGTACTCCTGAATTATGCGAATATCTTGCCCAGCAATCTTTGTTATGAACAAGACTAAAATAAACCAGGCAAGGTGCCAAAGCCTCTGATCTCAAAGCTAATCAGCACGGTTTAGTGAAGGCCCCGCTGATAAGGACAAATCTCCGTCAGAGAGAGAAAAAAACAAAATCCACCAATCGTTGCTGCTCAGCCTCACTTTTCCCAGTGGGTCAATATATCGACCTATAAAACTATGAGATAATATGAAACTCATGCTGGTCAATATATCGATATGCTTGTTACTTTTAGCAATAAAACGTATACAATCTGAGCAAAGGATACAGAAGCTTGAACAGTCCTGTTAATAAGCAGGTTAAAATTTCGATAAGTAAAGAGTGGCCGGCGGGTGGGGGGAAAGCATCATGGGTGAGTTGTCCTTGGCATAGAAATGATCCCCACAAAATTCCCTTTACAGTATATACTGTGAAATGCTTTTGAGACTCTCGAAGATGAGATAAGGCGCTATATCAAATGCAAAGATTGTTATTATTATTGTGATGCATCATACATATGCTATTGGAAATTTGTACTGCTGTACCTATTTAAATGATAATCCACTGAAAACATTTGAAACTGCACCCATCTCTGTGGGCTTGGCTATCTTGGTGTTAAAAATCTACAATTATAAATAATAAGTTTTGTTTTAGTTAAAGTAAATGTAATACAAGATTGACCCATTGCAGTCAACAGTGTGTGTGTGTGTGTGGGTGGTGGAGAGACAGTAGATTAAATGTCAGTGTTGCTGTAAAAGTCACGGGGGGCTTACAGACAGAAGAGCTTGGTTAAGCTGTTTGTCATGAGATAAAGGAACGCAGTTCTATGAGCACAGCAGGAGAGCTTTTAATTAAGTCACACACAATAACTCCGTTACAAAGTGGGGACCTTCAGTACGATCAAGATGACATAAAAGATAACAAATTCTACTTTCTGTTAAACTATCGCACATCTACCCTTTCTCAGGTGGTCGCATACTTTTCCCTGGCCGAGGGGCAGCTGGAGATTCTCCTCTGTGGCAATGCTAGCACAAAATGATTGCCATTGAAAGGTCGGAGGCTGAAGGCTGGAACCTGATGGAATGAGCTGCACCTGTGAAAAGCCTGCGTGAAAAGCAGAGTTGGCATAGTCAAGCCCAGACGTGATAAAAGCATGGATAAGGGTCTCGGCGGCCTGAGGTAGAGACATTAACAGAGGTGGGCAATGTTGTGGGGAAGGCTGAATGGGTCAAGGCCATAAGACTTTGATAAATAATAAGATTTTTATTAAGAGATGACATAGAAAGAAGACTGCGGGACATGGCAAACAGGAGGAGCCAAGCGTGAGATCTTGTGGAATGAGTTCTGACCAGACTGGTAATGAATCGACTGCCTTGGGAAACATAACATGTAGGAGCAGGAGTAGGCCATTCGGCACTTCGAGCCTATCCCACCATTCAATCATGGCTGATCTTCTAATCTAACTCCAGCTAATAACCTGACCCTGCCTTATCCCCATATCCCTTAATCCCTTTTGCAATAAGAAATCTATCTATCTCAGTCTTGAATATGTTCAAGGACTGAGCGTCAACAGCCCTTTGGGGTAGTGAGTTCCATACATTCACCACCCTTTGAGTGAAGAAGTTCTTCCTCAACTCAGTGCGAAAGGGCTGGCCTCTGATTTTAAGGTTGTGACCCCTGGTTTTAGTTTCTCCAACCAGGGGAAACAATCTCCCACTATCTACTCTAACATACCCTTTGATGATCTTATAGGTTTCTATAAGATCCCCTCTAGTTCTTCTATATTCTAGAGAATATAGGCCTATATATAGGGAAGCTCCTTATATATGTTCCTTGTTAAGGTTGTTAAGGTTGTTCCTTATAAAGGTGTGCTTCGTAATCTAATTAAAAGTATTGCACGCGATTCTGGGATCTTTCCATTGGTTTTTAATGCCATAAGCAATTCTCCCTTTGCATCTTTATCTGCACATGATTAACACAAACTGCAAATTCTGATCTCACTGCAGTGCAGTTGGTCAAAGGTGTCACAGCAAGATAACAGAACTGACAAATGTGTTTAATTCTCATTTGTTGACACAGTACTACAGGAGTCCTGTAGCTCAGTGGTTAAGAGCACTCGCCTTGCAAGTGAGAGACCTGGATTTGATTCCCGGCAGGGGGAAACCTTGGGCAAGTTTCCTTACTCCACACACCTGATAGTAATCCATCAAAAAAATAAAACTGGTCACTTCAATCCACGACCGTTTGTGGGATACTGCTATGCGCAATTGGCTGCCGCGTTTCGCCCACAAATACAGTCAATTCACTTTACAGTCTATTCTGTGAAGAGAATCTAGAAGACGTGAAAAAGTGCTATATCTAATTCAAGGATTATTATTATTACAAAGTACTACAGTTTTTTTTGTTAGCCGGGTGTCTTGACATGGAGAAACTGATCACCATGCTTAAGAGTATCCAAACCAGATAGGGAATTCCATGGGTACCATTTAAACATGCTAATTCATGTATCCGGAATGTAGTATGCACACTCCCCCTGGAGAGTACATATTATCTTACTCACCTGTATCTTGCTTACCTATTTCCGGAGCATTAGACGCAGGTTGGCAAGAGCCAAGGCTTGGGGACCTCACAGTATGTGCTGAGATATTGCTGGAGTTTAACCAGCTGAAATCACACAGCTTTTCATTGAACTTCCTTATGCATGTCCAGCTTGGACAAGCTTAGCTATCGGTGCCTTGGCTTGCAAGGTTAACAAGAGCTGAGTAGGGAGAATCCCAGTCCTTGGTGACCAAGTCCTGCCTGTGAACCATTGTAGCTGGTCTGTCGTCAGCAGTGTCCTGGAGTATTACAGACTCACCTGACTTTGGAACTGGATTACTGAGACCACCAGGGAGGATCAATTCAACCAAAGGTAATATATAAGAACAAATAACTTGCAGTTAATTAAACCAAGTAACTAAATCTCACATTTTCACATACTAAAAATGGGACATGACTCTCTCAAATGAAAAGAAACCAAATCGAATTATTTTTCGTCACATGTCCACGAGATACGTACACATATTTGTGGATTAGCAAATCAGAAAGATGCCACCAAAATGAAATATAAATGAACTGTTTCAAGAGGATACTGGGACTCTGAACCATCAAATGAATAAGGATTCCTTCAAAAAAACATATCTGACTATCATTCAACCCGTCTGTGTGCTCACCTGGAAATCTGTGATACAAGTTCCTATCCAGAAACACATTATTCAGCACCTTGGTCGAAACTTGCTCTTAAGCGCAGTGAATAGACTGGCCGATTCATACTTTAAACTGGAGTGATTGTGTGCTTTGTGTACCCCCACTTTGTTGTGTGGGTGCAACCTGAATAGCAAGTCTTCTCTTTACCTCTTTACTGAGGTGCCTATAAGTTGAATGTCTACACTGATTGATTGCCGCAATCTGTTGACAAACCACTAAGCTATTATACAGTACTTGTCCACGATCACATAATGTTGTAAATGTTTCAGCTCAACGGGTTATGCTTCTACTTACCTCCCTTCCATTCATCTTCCTAAACCCACCTGTAAAGTCATTTCAAATAAAAGGATAGAATCTGACTACAAAAACAACAAAATACATTTATGCAGCGCCTTTCACGTCGACAGGATGTTCCAAGGTGCTGGACAGTTAACGATTTGGACCCACACTGGGAGTTTGAATCAAGATGGTTCAAGAATAGGGGTAGTGGGGATTGGTTTGTGGGGATTGGATTGTGGACGAAGGTACGGTCAAAGAAGATCTTGAGACGGGCCTTGGAGGCCAGGATACAAAACTACACTGCAAATTAGGCTCCACTCCACATAATACCAGGGAGTGGTCTAGTGATAGGAATCCTGGTTTAAGTTCGGATGTCTTCTTTAAATTCTTTGGGAACTTGATACCTTGAATTTCACACCTCACCAATTATTCTGTCACAATGAGAAGTTTCTCACGTGGGGCTTCAAATTCAGCCAAAAATATCCGGGCCATCAGTAAAAAAGAAATCCCTGATAAATAGTTTACAGTAGTGCAAAATGTGTTTTGTCTTATATCCTTCGATATTTTTACTCAAGTACGTACCTAATTCCAGCTACTTGTGGCAAAACATTCCATATACAGTATTAATAATCTTCTGTGCAAAACAATTTCTTAGAACCCCTCCCTTTCCTTCCAATAAAAATAATAATGCTTAATCCATTGATACTGACTTGCTGATTGGTGGATATAGTCTCTCTTTGGTTATCCTTTGATAATTTTGATTTCCCCCTTAATTTTCTCTGTGCTCAACAAAACTGGAACCCTTTCATGCCTGTTTATCATTATTGTGCATCTCAGCTGTATCCTCTTTACGAGAAAATCACATATAGAAATATATGAAGAATGCATTTGTCTTTGCACAGATGGGATGACAATACGATGACTATCTCATCAGTTATATATAACCATAGGAAAATAGTTACGAAAGGAANTTTTTTATATCATTGTAATTGCCATGTAAAGTACATCACTAAGTAATCTTTGATACATCTCTTAAATTCATTGTACAGATACCAACTCCTCATAGATTCTAGATTTCAACAAGCATTGCATACCCTGCATTAACCCTTTGAGGAGAGCACAACATCATTTCTATTCCAAAATGAATACAATAAAGTTACAATTTATTCAGAAAATACTGTAAATTTGGGCATATTTCACGGTTGAACATTTGGTTGAGTATTTTTTAAATGTTTCAAAAATCTGTAAAGGACATTTATCACACAAAGGATTAACCTGGAAAGCAACACAGAAATCCTAAGCAGAATCATTAGAAAAGGTAGATAAACGAATTTCGTTGTAAAGAGACTTCTTTAACCTAAACTAGTATAATCTGCAATATTATCAAAGCCCAGTAACAAAAAGAAAAAAAATGCTACATTAATTATCAAAGACCATTGCATCTTAAGATACTTACAACAGTGAATGACTGAACACAGGGACATTTTTTTGTCAAAATCAACTTGCAGTTTGAAAAGGCTATTCCTAGAAAAAATTGTACTTGTACAAGATGTAAATGAATTGAAAAAAAATGTGCCATCAAAGAGGGTGACGCGATTGTTTTAAGATCCCTTCTTCTACAAGTGTAATAAAAATACTGTACTTTTTTTTACTTCTCACCCCCTCTTCATTGGCCACTCACATCCACCTGCTAATATTCTCAAGCTGTTCTGAGCATGTAGAATTATAGCAATTACAGCACAGGAGGAGGCCAGTCAGTCAATCAAGTGAGCCTAGGCTGCTGCTTGCTGAGCAATTTATTGCAGCAGTACCATGTGTTAGTACTCCAATGTAAAGCATCACTGCTACAAAATAGGACAGAATTATGAAATGGCATTCTAATGGATATTTAGTGAAGGGGGGAGAGGGGGATAGGTTTAATGGCTTAACTTGATGTTAATGCTCCCGTGCTTTTGCTTTCAACCATTTCCTGCCTTGCATGTCAGCCAGTGACCCAGGGCACCGACACTCGAGAAAGAAGAACAAGATAGCAGAGCGCATAAAGATCTTAAAAACCGTCAAGTGTATTCAATATCACCAACTGGCTTGTCAACCCAAAACCAGGTGGCAAATGGGTGGTTTGAGGGAAACTGGGCTCCCAGTTACTATGTAACCAAGATTGGTGCAATGTGCTCTGAAGAAGAAGCCCATCTGTAAATACTATTGAGGAATTGCATTGAAATTAGTAAGGAATCCAACTAACATCACAGCTGTACGGTCACTGGAGAAAGCCTCGCTTTACTTAAGTGATAGTCTGATTTTCTCTTGTTTGTGTAATCTTGGTTAACTGTAGGTTATGACGAGATTACCTTCTACAAGGAACTCATTTCCTCTGCAGAAAAAATAATTTGTACAAAATTTCTGTTGTGGAATACAACAATAAAGTAGATTTGAGTAAATATACAGAACCAAACCTGGATTTACTCCCATCATTTTGTGGGAAACAATTAAACATTGTTAGCTTGCTTCAATTTGTGTTTGATGCAGAAAGGTTGGAGAAATCATCTTTTAATGCTCTGAAATATGAAATCTTGCACTTCTAAGCCTCTTCTCTCTCCCTGTTTGTCACTTGGCCAGTTTGCAAAGTAAGTCAGAAGGCTGTTTCCCAAAGCAATAGTTTTTCAACCTAAGTAGGACACCACACTTTTAAATAAAAGCAATATTTACAGACAATGTGATTCACAGCAGGAAAAACACGATGCATAACACGATACATAACATGAACATGAAAAATACAATAATTTTCTCATATTAAAATGGATGTAAAAAACAAGTGTAACTAAACAGTGAAAAATGTTAACAAAAGTTCATTGTGATTCTGTCGCAAGAACAAGATCAAATGCAGTTGTGGGAATACAGTATGAGAAATATAGTATAATTTGAACAGGAATTCCCTCGTACTGTTGTACTGTGGTAGATGCCAGAATATGTTGCTAGTATTGTTGTACCTTCAACAGTCTTTAAAGGCTTTGTCAATATTTGCAGTAATACCTAGCACATGGAACTGACTGTGACCTATTTATCGTAATTTTGACTTCATAATTAAGCCCCCGGGGGCTGGTTTGATATTATTTGAGCTTTCCATTTTCCTCTCCTGTTTCTTTCTCCTTTGTTGCCTCGGAATTTTGTTTGGCTTTTAACTCTGTCCTTCCACTTCCCACCAGTCCACACGAAAGGCAAACAGTGTGGATCTGCTTCATATTCTCCAGAGCTTCAATCTTGGCATTTTTCAGTAAATCCCCTTGGCCCTGCATATGTCAAAACACTTTGGTGTATTAATACTCTAATACATACATACATACATAACATGTTCACAAACACAATCAGCTGTCAAATTCTAAGGGACGTTTTAAACAGCATCCCAAAAGGTAATTAACTGCAACTAAAGCACAATGAAAAAGAGGGCACATGACAATAGTTAAGGNAAAAAAGCAATAAATATAAAAGCAGAGGGCAACAACAACTTGCATTTATATTGGACCCTTCATGTAGGTAACGTCTCAGAATATTTCAAAGTGGCGGGATTGGATGGCGAGTAAGGGAGAAGTGGGAGGGTGACCGCAGGTGTGGTCAAAGAGGTAGGTTTTAAGATGGGATTTAAAGACAGGTAGAGAGGGGCAGAGATGGGGGGGGGGGGGGGGAGGCAGGGTGCTCCAGAGGTGTGGGGCATACTGACTGAAAGACAACTGAATTTGAAGGTGCAAACAATGCAAGTTGTTGGTTGTGGTGGTGTAGGGAGAGAGGAAGAGAGACCTGGGCCCATAAATGAATCTGAAGTGTTGAGGGTCGTGGAATTACGGACTTGTGGTGCAAGGTTTTAACAATCTCATCATTAATAACAGAAGTTAAATTCCATGAGAGCCAATAAGATTGGGCAAACCACTTGGTAAGTTAATATATTAGGTAGAGCTTGTGAAAAAAAAAGGTGTGTGACAATTAACAATGAAATAGCAGATATTAACACAGAAGAACCAAAATACCGCAATAGGTTATATTTCATCTTCAAAACAGGAAAAATGTTCTCATAAGAAGCTGAAAATGTTCAGTTTATGGTGTACATTAAGATCAAAGATTTTCCTGGAAATGTCAAATGTCTCGTTCTTTTTAAAAGGAATGAGATGCTGGATTTTATTGGGCCCTTGTCTGGGGAGGGTGGGGAAGAAATCAAGTTATGTGATTTCTTCTTTTGTGTGTCTGTATAGATGTAGGGATCTTGTACTGCATGTTTAATGGGGAATTGCTATCAAACATCCTCAGACAATTGAGTTAATACCCACACAGTATAAATGTAGCATGTACAAGATTGTACTGGGCTGAGGATCTTATTTTTTAACATTATTAAAACAGTCGGATCACGTGACTGTATTTGTAAAAACATAGAAAATAAATACCCGGCAGCATTACGTTTGGTTAAAGGGTATTTCCAAGTTCGGATGCAATAAAGGCTGAATACTGTGGGAAAACGGCATAAGGTAAATAATGAATAAATAAAAAATGCTGAGGATGCTTTTTTTTATTTATTCAGGTAAAACATACCACAAAACAGATATATGCACTAAAAGTGAAAGAACTTCAGTGCATAAACACTGAAACACTGTGTCCAGCGCCTTGGGATGTCCTCCTGAGGTGAAAGGCGCTTTACAAATGTAATTTTGTTGTTGTTGTAAAGAAGCACATTCTTCTTACAAAACATTTGGCAAACTCTTTTGGGTGCGTGCATCATATTCAATGTCATGACGACACTCAAATCAAGTGACTCAATGTTATTTATGCTGTTCATGTCTGGCACATTTGTAAACAGCTGAACAAATATGGCAAAACTAATTTACTAAGCCGATTACCCTTTAAAAGGTTAATCTGGTGAAAAGCACTGCAATCGAGAAAAGCTTTTAGAAATAAGCCTTTCAGTTGTGGGTATTACTTAATGCTGAATATCTTAAAGTAGAATTTGATAAATGTACAAATACACTTTTACTACGTTCTTTGAATAAACAAGAGAGCAGTATCATTTTTATTTTAATTTTTACTGTTGAGATCCCACATTCAAAACTTTTGACATACTTGGCATTTTCTTTACTAATTCAAAAAAATAAGTTTATTGGGGCCGGACAGGGGGGTTGGTGGGGGGCTTAAAAATAATAATTCTTGCATTTGATATTATCACATCGTTGAGATGTCTCAAAGCACTTTGCAGAATATACTGTAAATGAATTGATTGTGTATTTTGTGGGCAAAATTGTCTTTGTTTTTTTCTTGGCAATTTTCTATGAAAACGATGTTTCGTAACATTCAACTTGATGACTATTCATTATCAGCCACTTGCTATGCTTAGGAGCACATAATCTGATTATACGGTACATTTAAGATGTATATTTTTGTGTTCTGATCATTTCTTTTAGCATTAGGTAATCCTTCCACTGTATAAATCATTGGTGAGACCACACTTAAGAGCACTGTGCACAGTTCTGATCGCTGCAGTACAAAAAGGATATTGGTGAAATCGAGAAAATACAGAGGAGGGCAACCAAAATGATTGAGGGAATGGAGGGACTGGACTATGAGGAGCGACTAAGTAAATTTGGCACGTTCAGACTAGAATAAAGAAGATTGAAAGGCAACATGATTGCTGTCTTTAAGATTCTAAAAGGGCAAGACAATATAGATCATGACAGGCTATTTTAACTTGTCCAGAATAGTAACAACAGAGGACATGGCCTGCGATTGAAGGAGGGTAAACTCGGAACGAATCTACACAAACACTATTTCAGTGAGCGAATAGTGAACCTGTGGAACAGGCTCCCTTGGGAGATGGTTGAAGCAGGAAGTGTTGATTCAAACACAGATTAGAAAGTTTTCTTTTAGAAATTAACATTATGGGATATAATACATGGGTAGTTTGGGACATATTTGCACGCGACCACCAGAAAGGTGGAAGGCAAACAAGATGGACCTTGCTTTGTCTTTTTTTATCCAGCATTTCTTAGGTGCTTATGTTCTTATTAATTGATCTGAAATCTTCAGTTTGGTTTCTTGAACTGGCTTGCTCTTTCGATTCAAAAATTAAGACTATTTCAAGAAAGTTGCATCAAAAACATCATATTTCTAGCATTTGCAGTTTCTTAGTAATAAGCAAAAACAACATCCAAGGAGGATTGGTTAGCTAAGCATCAGATATGAGATCAGAAGGTTCTGGCATCAACTCCCAATGGATGCACTTCATAAAAGGAAGATTATGTCTGAAGTTATCCTGCTAGAGGAAGGAAGAAGCAGAGACTTCCTGGAGCTAAACTGACTTTGAGATGACGAGCATTAACATAACTAGAGGGTCAAATATCCCTCTACTGTGTCATAGATTTTCTATAATTCTACACTTAAAGCCGAGCAAATCCATATAATCCAAGGAAGATCTACGTGTGATCTTGGCTCAATTGATAGCACTCTTGTCTCTGATTTAGAAGGTTGTGGGTCCCATCACAGTACTCAAGAGTTCAAAGTCGAGGCTGACATTCAAGTGATGAACCATTGCATTGTTGGAGGTGCCATCCTTTGAATGAGGTCCTGTTCAAGAGAATGTTGTAAATCCCAGAAGTCTGTTTGAAAGGAGAAGGAAGTTTCTGCTGGTGTCCTAGCCAACCATTCTCCAAATAAATTGATCATACACGGGACAATGAGGTGGGTAAATTGTCTATACAGAGTCACTTACACTTCACAAGTTTCTTGTATAATATAGGCACTGTATCCAATGCAAAGATTATTATAATAGATCTGCAAGTGTAAACATGTGTTCACCCCTGCAAACAAAAGCCCAAATGGTTCCTTGTTTCAAGAATAGTGGTACTGCTTACCAGTCAATTTGGATTGTCAGTTTCTCAACAAAAGCCTAAAGGCCAGAACCATGTGACATGGTATAATAAACAAAAATTAAAACTAACTTACAAAATGTATTTGGTATCTGTGAATCTCACTGCTTCCCTTGCTCATTTATAGAGTGTTACGGCACACAAACCAACTATATTGGTTGACCAACATCATGGGTTTTCTTGAATAACTGACATTCCAAATTGACAGTGGAAAAGTAGTACTATTGTTGAGCCAAGGAACGAGTCTAAAAGGCTTCCGACTAAGTACCAAATTAGAGACTCCTTTAGAAGCCCACACAACAGGGTATGCAGCGTAAGATGTGAGTTTGTAACTCGCTGAAGGGAAGGAAGCAGAGGGTAAAAGATTCTAGATCAAGTAAGCGGGGAGATATTTAGTAGGAATCCTCAGACGTCTTTACTGGGATTTTTCCTATTCCTATTATATACATAAACTACCTGGATTTATAGACTTGATGCTTGGTAAACCTGCACATGACAGCAAGCTGGCGGGCCTGTGGAGGAGTCATCCAAGATCTTTCAACGAGAGCCTGTCAGGAGAAGGCTAATCACAAACAGGTGCCGTCCAATAAAGACAAGTACAAGATGCTGCTCATAGGAAATATACATGTACTCAACAGGACAAAAATTACAAGGGGACGGGGGGGTGAGTTGAAAGCGATCTGGCAATGTTAGCTGGTTCTCCATGAGGTAGCAATGAATAAAGCAAATGGAGTGCAGGGCTGCATTGCCAATCAGTTAAGTTCAGCTCCGCAAAGTGACGTTACTAGCTGAATAATGCCTTGGTGCAGCTCCACCTGGAATACTGTACACACAGTTTTAGTCACTGCACTGTTTACTCAGGCCCTAGAGGTTTCGTAGAGGATATCAAAATGATTGATAAATAATAATAATACTCCTTGCATTTGATGTAGCGCCTTATCACCTCGTCAATATGTCTCAAAGAGCTTCACAAGATATACTGTAAAGTGGATTGACTGTATTGTTTGGGTGAAACGAGACAGGCAGTTTCCACACAGCAGTGTCCCACAAACAGTCACAGAGTGAGCCACCAACTTTACTTAGAAGATTGTTGGCCAGGACACCGGGAGAAACTCCCTTCTCTTTTCAAATAGTGCAATGAGGTATTTAACGTCCACTTGAACAAGCAGACGGGACCTCGGTTTAATGTCTCATCCAAATTGATCCCCAGTGTTAGAGGGATGAATGGAGAGGAAAGAGTAGATAAACTTGGGCTCTTCGTCTCATAAAGAGGCATTTCTGAGGGAAATTCATAGAGGTGCACAAGATCTTGAACAGTACGAAGAAAGAAAATCTGGAATTTTAATATCAGATGTCCCAATGAGGGAGGATAAGAGGCACAGAATCATGACTGTGAAAGGCAAGTTTAGGCTCTAGACACCAGGAATTGAGAGCTGTAATGGGTTACTACGAGTAGTGGCAAAGGCCAAGGCATTAACTTCATTTAAAAGAACAGCTTGATGTTGTAATGGGAAGACAGGAAGCAGGAGATCAAATGGGTTAAAGTTGCCTTCTTCGTCTGAACACGTATTGTGCTGTGACCTTGTGAATACAGAGTTCCTTTAAAACGCTGGTTTCAGGAAAAACAAATTTCAGGAAAACAACTGCAGCCACAACACTGCGATCTTTTTGGCATCCGTTCCTCAAACAAAAACAAACATCCCCAAATGACCTAAAAGTAAATTTCACCCAGAATATTTCTGAAGTAAATCTGGCACAAGCAACAAGGATTTGCCTCATTTGAACGTGATATATTAGCAAAATATATGATTATTTCTAAGAGTATACGTATTATATATCTATATAAGTAAGATTGAGAGCTAATGTAAATCTATAGCTGGACAACACTCCCAAATCCAATTAATTACAGGATCAACTCTGCAGATAGGCTTCAGAGATCCAACAGCTATACTTGTCTGATCACAGCAGCTTTCTATGAGAAGGCAATCGAGTAACAAAGTACAGTGATGCGATTTGTTTTGCTCTGAAACTCGCTGTGAGAAAGCTCTGTGTACATTCGAATGGGAGAACTGGGAAAAAGCTGCGATCAGTGGCCAAAGTCGTCAAAACATCTGCAAGCACACTCCAGTACATGCTGGATTTCTGGAGGGGGTGTCATCTACTCTCTTTACTTTCAACAGACTGTTTTTATAGAAGCGCAATAAACCAGTACAAGTTTTCACAGAAACCTAGTGATCTCAAAAACATGTGATTCTAGCATTTCACAAGCATCTTTTATGTTAGAAGAAAGCTTAAAGTAGAAAGTGTGCAGCAAAAACATTCTCTCAAGTGACGTGTATCATTTACATAATTACATCACTGGTTCTGAGAAAATATAGAAAATACCCTTTGCCTCATTCTGTGAAAAACTCAAACTTGTATTGTGTCTTTTAGTTACGATAATAGCTTAATGCACTTGATAGAAACCATATGGATCACCCAGCAACCTGGGAGGGGAGAGGGAGGGTGTTGAGTGGACAAAACCTTGACATAGATTTTAACAAGATTTTGAAGGCAGGGACAAGATACGCAAGGCACAGGGATTTGGGGAGTAAGTTGTAGCCAGCAGGGAAATAGTTGTGTGTGTGGGGGGGGGGAGGTAGGGAGAGTATAGTAGAGAAATGAACAAGAGGCCCACTCTGGAGTTTTTATTTTAACAATAAGAGAAAGCGGTGCATAAAGTGCAACCCTCAGGACTCAGCAACTCTGCTCGAGTTCAACCTTCTCTTTTGTTGGCTTCAGACTGCCTGATTGCAGGCAACGTCCCACAAAGCATCAACTCATATTGAGGTGGCTTTGCATGGCACTTCCAGCCATCAGTCATCTTTCTTACACACTGAAAACAGTTTGAACTGTGCTTTCCAGTTTGTCACAGCATCAGTAAAAGTGGAGGAACCAACCCGGTCGGTGGAAGGTAGAGAGGTAAGTTCAGCTGATATTCAGCCACAGCTTCTGACCTATGTTACTACCAGCATTGGAGGAGCAGTGGTCAGGCGACCGGGTTGTTTAAATATAAAGGCTAGGAATGACACTCATCATTGGCAATGCCACTCTGTGTGTAGCTCTTAATTGAAGAGCACAGCCCACAATCCCCTGAAAATATTGCCTCCAGTCTTTTGGGGACTTTATCCAGTCCTACACACTCCTATGTTCCCTTTGATATCCCTGTGACATCAAAAGTCCAGGGTTTCCTGTCAAATCACATGGAACATTGCACAAGCCTAATCCCAAAGAGCCGTAGATAATGGAAACCAGAGGCTTTATATTGTCACAAAACATTAAAATACTCAATCAAGTCTTCATTAAGAAGGTGAACAAAATACTTCCAATAAATCCATATAATCCATCAGCTGACACCAGCACTGCCTCTAAGTCTTAACAGCTAACAAAACTCAGGCTGAGAGCAAGCGGTGTTAACACAATCTAAATTGTAGGCGGGTAAACAGATAGTGCTGGGCGGGGGTGTAAAAGAGAGCAGAAATGGGACAGTGCACTGACCCTCACACTTCATGCACCTCATTCCAGATAGAAAAAACACAACCCAAGATCAAAAACTTTTTTGGGGGGTTGGTCGGGTGTCTGACACATGCGGAAACCTATCATCGTGCTTAAGAGTATCCAAACCGAAATGAGAATTTCATACATCTTACTGAAAAACTGTTACATACACATGGAAATCCCAGAGATAGATCGTTGGAATAGAATGCTCTCTCTCCCTGTTGGGACGCTTCCTGCTTACCTAATTTCCGAAAGTATTAGGCGCAGATTGGCAAACACAAACTTCTTGTAGTGATAATAGATCCTTGGATCGTTCTCTGAAACCCTTCCAGAGCCTTCGAAATTGGTGATAACGACAAGTTTTTCTATTTTGCACAGTTTTTTTTCCCTTTGTTTTATCAAAGGAACAACCGGAGGAACTCTGTAATGTGATTAATGTATTCTCAACTGGAATGGGGCTAAGAATACGGCTAATAATCACCAGCATAACCAATGCAGTTGAAATCCTAATCCAAGCCTTTTAACACTTCCCAGCTGGACTATTCCTCGCTGGTCTCCCCAGTTCTACCATACACAAAATTTAATTCATCTAAATTCCACCGCCCGGATACTCACCCGCACAAAACTCCGTACCACCATTATACCAGTCCTTGCCAGGCTCCACAAGCTCCCAATTACCGAACAGATCGGTTTCAAGATCCCCTCACTTGTTTTCAAATCCCTTCATGTACACACACCTCCCTGCCTATCTGATCTGCTTACTCCCCCCTCCACCACCTGCTGCCTCCACTCGCCCGATCCGGCCTCCTGTTTGTCCCTTCGTTTCCTCCGTTCTGCCATCGGCGGCCGTGCTTTCAGCTACTACACCCCAAAACTCTGGAACTCTCTCCCCAATCCCTCCACCTTGTCCCCTCCCTCCCCGCTTTCAAATCCTGCCTAAAGACCTTCCTTTTTGATGGTGCTTACGCTCAGCTACCATCCCTCTCTTCCCCTGGCTCAGGCTCAGACTCTGCCACTGTCAAGCGGTCCAGGATACTACCCTGCATAAAGGGCGCTGTTGTTGAAATTGTTGTTGGATGAAATTTTGCTGGTGAGGCACATCAAGACATCTTTTCAACAAGAAAGATGTTGGATTAGAGCACAAGAATCTAATGGGCTCTTGGAATAGATGGGACAGTGTTTCATTTGTTTCAGACACACAGAATATCCAGTCCAGAAATCGATGCCTCCGAAACCAAAAGCAAAATGTGCCTAAAGAAAAATTGTACAGAGTTGAAAATTGCCTGGCTAAACCTAGCATTAATTTAGCCAGTCTGGCCTTCTCACCAGCGAATCCAACCCGAGTCTGCAATTGGGAATCTCAGCTAAAGAGGAAGGTTACAACACTTCCTCCAGGGTTTCTTCTGGTCATAGAAACCCATCTTAACCACATCCTGGTGATATTCCAGATTGTCACGCTACCTCCAAAATTGTCACGTCCAAGGCAAAACTTTTAGCTACTTTATCTAAGTGTCTTCCCTTGGAGTCTCCTTTATTCCACAATGTTCTCTTCTCCTCCCTCCTCCCCCGTTCGGCATATTCGTGAAGTTTAACACGTAATCGTACAAAAAGGACAGTTTATAATAATTTATAAGTTTTTTGTGCCAATGCGCATTTCCACTTGATGCATGGAATCAATAGATATGATGCCACGATTTGTTTTGATACATTTTATAATGGGGGGGGGTGGTGAGGAGAGAGGGAGGTGAGGGAGGATGTGAGAGAAAAGAGAAAGAAAACACACGCTGGCTCTCTCTTGCATTGAAATGTCAGCTCTTTGCCTCCTTGTTATTTCATGCAACTTTATGCAAACTTATAATTTGCTCAAACCCATATGGTCCCTTCTCACACCCATGGTGAAGGTTGGACCGTTCCCTCTCTGCTCTCAGTTCAATAAACACTTTCCCAGCGAGCACTCAGGTTGTTACTGTACCTTCAATATCGTCATATTCCAGGCAAAGCTTTCAAATGCTTTATTTAACTTTCTTCCCTTCAGGCCCTCCTTTGATCCCAGTTTAGTAAGGTCCTCGTGAAACTCAAGTCCTGTTCAAACAACAAAAGTACATGGAGTGAACAGTACAAGTTACATTTATTCAGCACGAGAAGGACGTCTCAATGCACTTGACACTAATTGATGGGCACTCAAGTTGGTCGTGGGAGACGAGAGGGTTGGGGAGGGGAAAATGACTGAAAGTTAATGAGCTATGTTTTGAGATGTAGAAGAACTAGAGGAGGGAGGGAGTGAGTCAGAGGGACTCTGGGATAGAGTCAGCAGCAAAATGACTCGCAGGTGGTGGGGTGGATGGGACGGGGGAATGAAGCAAACAGATGTTTGCTGACCAGAGAGATTGTGTGGTGACAGGCAGATAGGTATACAAGGAAAATTCTGTGGATACAAAATGACTTGATGGATGTCTGAAACGAGAAACCTCAATGAATGTTTCACGCGAGACTAACAAGAGCATTCCAGCATTCGCAGGTTCTGGTTTTAAATCTACAAAATGTTGTAAACATTTACTGGGTGCAGCACGACCCCCAAGTTGGCCTGATTTCTGCACCGTTCACAGGGGCACTGGGCACCTTCCCCACAGCACAAACCCACCGCACATCTCTCTGCTGTGTGACACATCATAGGGCATTGATGCAGCAGAGCATTAAGACTGGAAGAAATCTTCCTAATCAGTCTTAGTCTTTCCTATGCAAAATCTTCGCATTAGGAGCTGCAATCGGGTCGGATTGTTGCCCTGACCCAATTCATGCCCTGGTCTGATCAGATTTGCTGCTTAACATAAGCAGCAGCAGGTTAGGCAAGACAGATCTGTGGGACGTGCAGGCAGACCACTCACAAGCTATTTCTGCAGAGCCACCTTTTGAGCACGGCCACTTACACTCCCGGTTTAATGCCAGCATTCACAGGTTTGCACTGTTAGAATGGTTTAGCCACACTGAAAACAGCTGAGAACACAGCAAACATAGAATCCGCAGTGCAAGAGGACACTTAGATATTCAGAGATAACAGATTCCTCAATTTATTTACAGAATATTAATTACTGCCAAATACCACCATCGTGCTCGGCGAACTTAAATATTTAATTTTAGAAATGACAAAAAACATTCAATGGCAAATTGCCGCATGCGATTTCATGTTGAGTTTCTTGTTTCATTCTCTACAGGAAGCTTTGACAAAATAGACAAAACACAATTCTCAACTTAGTGCTCTTGTCAGATTCACTGCAGATTTCATGTAAACCTCTGTCTCCTACTCCCCGTTGTACTTAATCAGCCACGGCTCAGAGCACTGTGATGTTTCCTCATATTTCCCCCAAAAACGAAGACAGGCTCCCACACTCAATGTTATAGGTTGGGATTTCATTTATAAAGAAATGTTCCTTTAATCTCTTGTAATCCCTTTATCCAACTATTTAGCACAAGCATCATTTCACGTTTTCAGAGTTCTAGCTTGACAACTGCTGTGGGCTACAAACTGCACTGTGATCTGCACAAAATGAATGGTAATAATCAATGGAATTCATCACCTGTCTTCTTGCTCTGATTGATCTTGTCATATATAGTATCTGCCATCTCAATCAGGTATTTTGACTCCTGTATCATCTGCGAACAAACAATTGAAACATGAGTGAGATCCCATACTTGAAGGTTGATTCTTTCCATTCATCACAGAAACAATGTAGTGGCCTTCGATGCCTCAATTGATTGTATTTTATTTTGTATTGATCCTTTCATTCTGTGAAAAAAAACTTAGCATCAACCAGGACTCTACCATGACCACACAATTCCAGTTCATTTTCATCTCTGTATGAATAGACTTTACAATGCAAAATAATAATAATAATTCACGACTGTTTGTGGCACACTGCTGTGTGGAATTTGCTGCCGTGTTTCGCCCACAAACTATACAGTCAATTCACTTTACAGTATATTCTGTGAAGTGCTTTGAGACGATTCAAAGACGTGATAGGGCGCTATATCAAATGCAAGGATTATCATTATGTAAACATGTAATAGCCTTCAGAACTATATTCCAACTATATTCCTGTTGCTCTGTCACTCTCTCTCTGGTTACTACAATAACGTTCTCCTGATGTGAAAGGCGCTATACAAATGTAATTTTGTTCTTGTTGTAATCTGAAATCTCCCAGTTTTATCCACAGTGTCTCTGCATGAGTTAGCAAAAGAGGAACGGAGAAAATGAACAGAAGAGGAGAAACACACAGACACCCCAAATGTACCCACAAAACTTACACATGGATATACACTTTCAATGCAAGTGGCAGAATTGTTTTCTCAGAATTGGGCTACAAAGCAATCCTTGTAACGATATCCCACCACATGGATGGGTTTCCAGGATAATGCTGAAGCAGTCAGTTGGATAATACAAAGCATAAGAGATTCTCTTTGGTTATCCAAGCGGATGCCTGACACATACACAGAAATTGTACTTGAAAGTCTCCATCACCAAACTTACTGAGACTTTCATATGTTTGGTTTCTATTTGTCCCGAACGGACTGCACAATTTTCCTAGAGGGAAAAGAACTGCTCCCGGAGAGTTTAGGTACAAGTTAATAATAATAATAATCCTTGCATTTGTTATAGCGGCTTATCATGCCATTGAGACGTCTCAAAGCGCTTCACAGGACATAGTGTAAAGTGGATCTGGATTGACTGTGTTTTTTGTGGGAGAAACGCGGCAGTCAGTTGCACAGAGCAACGTTCCACAAACAGCCATGGATTGAGTGACCAATTTTATTTGAGGGATTGTTGGCTAGGACACCCGGGGTAAATTGGCAAGAGACAAGGATTGGAGACATCTTTAAGGAAAATTTTAACGTATGTATTAAGAGTGCACACTTAATTGCAGGCTTTCTGCAACGCATTATAAACGGGAATAAAAAAGAATAATTTGGGAAGAAAATCCACTGGATACTCACATGCAAATAACGTGCAATTTCTATCTCCTTTAAAGGGCAGTTTTACTGTGGCCAGACTTTCATGAGAAATTAAGTCAAACTCTTCGAACCAGCTGAATTAAAAACATTCACAAAATAAAGTACTACCAGAGCAACTTAACCTGTTTGCCCTCAGAAAAAAACAGAAAATACTTTTGAACTCCTTTATTTCAATAGCACACAGTGTCATTGCCAAGCATCGATGAGGGTATAACACAGTCTTCTGTCAAAGAGAATTAAAAGCGTAATTTAAAATCAGGTAAAAGGATAGCGTGGTTCATTTGTTCCATTAATGAGCGGTTCCTTGCTGAACAACTGGCTCATGCATCACGTATTAGTTAAATGCCATTTATTAATTTAGCTCACGCAAAATTTTGAAGTGATACCTTGCCTTTCAATTTAATATGAAAAGCTATGGGCCAAGTCTGCCTGCCTTAAGGTCTTAATGTATGACAAAACGGATTTGTTTGAAATGTTTGGCAGGCTTGATACTTTGGGTTATCCTTGTATGTAATCGGAAACTAAAGCTCTTTGCAACCTTTTAATCCTCTGGGCTCTATATTTGTCTGGCACTTCGCTCTTTAGGTTGAACTCTTTTCTGTTTTCTTTCCTCCACAGGAATGCTGCTCGGTTAAATTAGAAAGCCAGATATATTATGAAAAGAGGATGAGATAAAAGAATAATGTCACACTGTAATCTGCATTTTGTTCTCTTAAAACAAGAAGCCCTGAAATACCAAAGCTGCTTTAAAGGGTTCAAGGAAACGTAATGTGTTTGTCTCCTTCCCTCCTTTCTACAATTCAAATTTACATTTATATGCATCTGTCACATCGAGGACATCCCAAGACACTTAGCAATTCTGACAATTCAGGCTGGATGTTGAGAAAGGGAAAGTATGGTCGAGGAGGAACATTTTGAGCCATACCTTGGGGAGCGATAGAGCAAATCACAGGGACCAGGGAATGGAGTTCCAGAAAGCGGGTGACAAGTGGCTGAACATCAACAACTTGGATTTATATAGTGCCCTCCACGCCGGACGGCGTCTCAGAGCGCTTCACAGTAATGGATCCCGGGGCCGAGCCACGGGGAGGGGGAGAGGGAGGAAGGTGACCAAAGGCGCGATCGAAAAGAAAGGTCTTCAGCAGAGACCTGAAAATAGGAAGGCGAAGGGAGTGAGGAAGGCAGTTCCAGAGCTTCGGGCCATAGTGGCTGAAGGCACAGCCGCTGAGGGTGGAGCGGAGGACTCGGAGGACATCGACAAAATTACATTTGTATAGTGCCTCTTATGTCGGGAGGACGTCCCAAGGCGCTGAAAGCTCCACCGCTGACGGTGGGCGGATAACAACAACAATTCTTGCATTTGATATAGCGCCTTATCACATTGTTGAGACGTCTCAAAGCGCTTCACAGGATATACTGTAAGGTAGGCGAAACATGGCAGCCAGTTGCACACAATGTTCCAACGGCCAAGGAGTGAGTGACCAATTTTATTTAGGGGATTGTTGGCCAGGACAGCGGGAGTAACTCCCTTCTCTTTTCGAATAGTGCCATGGGATCTTTAACATCCACTTGAACAGGCATTGGTTTAAGGTCTCAGCCAAAGGACAGCACCTCCGATAACGCAACACACCTGCAGCAATGCATTGAAGTATCATCTTAGACTTTGTGATTCCAAGTCCTGATCTGGAGCTTGAACCCACAAGAGGCGAGTGTTACCACTGCCTGTGTCAGGCTGAGCGGGGGAGCGGGAGTAGTGGCAGCTGAGTGAAGGGAACAGATGCGTTGATAGGGTGAGGCCCTGATGGTCGGATGCAGTGGAGGGGAGAAGATCACTTATCAGGAGTGCAGGAGACCAAAGTTTTCTTGAGCAATTTAGAGCAGCTTTGGACGTTTCAGGGAACTCATTTTAAAAGAAAAATGGAGGCTGCAAAGCCAAGTTTGGTCCTTGCACGCTGAGCCATTGGGAGAGTACAATTATCAGCAAATTAACTTATCTAGCGAAAAAAGGTTAATAAATGATAGTGGGCAAGAACCTGTAAGGAAGTCATTTAACTGAGTGCCTCAGGAAGGAGGGGGAAACAGGCGAGCAGGCAGGGATTAGCAACATCAGTAGAATCCAGCAACTGATTTACAAGCTCAAAATCATTGGACATTTAATGTATTTTTAAAAGCATTATGAAGTGGACACGCTACAGGGAGTAGTGGTAGCAGGGCGACTGTGGTCCTGTGAAGTGATAACATGGACAACATGAAATCGTGCAGTGAAACGACTGGAAAAATGTTGTTTAAAATAAACCCAGTGAAAGCTGAGAAGAGAGTCACGTTTTTATTCAGTGCTAAACCACGGGCTTTTTTGTTTGAAAGGCAGCAAGAGATTTGACGGAAAATGCGACTTCCCGTGTGTCGGGTTCAGTCATTCCAGCGATCATCAAATGTGACGAGTGCTCAGGGCCAACCTGCGGCTCAAATGGTTGGGATCTTGTCTCTCAATCACAGTCCAGGAGCTGCCTGTCACACCAAGCTCTTCTCTTCTGACGGCTCGAGGTTCCTCAGTGTCAGCCGGGGCTGCTACGTGCTGTTCTATATGGAAATGAGATTGATGACCTTTTCGAGGGGGTGAGAAGGGTCAAATGGAATGGAAGATTTCGGGTTCCGTTGCTTTTTGATAATATTTTGCTCTTCTCTCAAAATCACTTGTTCTTTGTGGGAGTCACTATGCGCAAATTGGCCGACCCGCTCACCTACAAAATACACAGTCTTTGAGAAGCACTTTGAGAATGTCCACCCAATAGGGTTCATTATGTATTACATCAGACGTCAAAGATACTAAATCAAATGTAAGGATTACATCCTTGAAGGGTTTGAGATATCTTCCTGATGTGAAAGGCACTTTTGTCATTTGCAAGGTTTATTATTATTATTTATTAACAACTCAGGAGTGCACATTGCAGCCATGGAAAAATCCATAATCTAATGTGCCTTCATTACACTAGCAGAATGAGCTAGATCTACAATAATAATAATCTTTACATTTAGTATAGCATTCCCCTTCAAAGTAAAATGTAGTGTTTTGTCAGACAGTTAGAAGAGAATAATAATCGTTGCATTTGATACAGCGCCACATCACATTGTTGAGATGTCTCAAAACTCTTCACAGAATATGCTGTAAAGCGGATTGACTGAGTATTTTGTAGGTGAAATTGTACCAGAGAATAAGCAAGGTTTGCAGATTGCTGTGTAAAACAATACAATGTCTGAAGGAGAAGCAATGAAGAGTTTCCTGAATGGCGGAAAAAGTTCACCGCACACCATTAAGATATTTCATTGACACATAACAAAGCCCAAGGGCTTGCTGTGGCCTTGCGTTTCAGTGGATGTCTTCTCCCTCCTACCGATGAAATTGCTCCCCTCTGCGCTCTAAATGGACCAATTTTATCAGCGGTGGACCAACAATGCAACTGTAGAAACAAAATCAGAGAGCTAGGAAAACTCAGCAGGTCAGGCAGCATCTACGGAGAAAGGAAAAAAGGGTCGTGGACCCGAAACTTTTGACTCACTTTCCTTTCTCCGTAGATGCTGCCTGACCTGCTGAGTTTTGCCAGCTCTCTGTTTTTGTTTCAGATCCCAGCATCTGCAGTATTTTG